GGGCCCAGTTGCTCCGCGGCATGTGGGATCTTCCCGAACCGGGGCACAAACCCATGTCCCCTGCATCGGCAGGCGGACTCTCAACCACTGTGCCACCAGGGAACCCCGTCCTCCGAACTTTTAATATGCTAACACATAAAGGGTTTCTCACAGATGATAAAGTTAATAATAATAGGTAACATTTGAAGAGCATTTATTGTGGGCTGGCTAAATGCTTTACACAGATCATCTACAAATACAGTAATTATCTCCATTATACAGAGAAGAAAACTTGACTTAAAATTAATTTGCCGATTAATGTGGCTAGTTAGTAAATGATTGAAACTTAGGTCTGTCTGATTCTGGAGTTATTTCTTTTAATGCCCAAGCTATAATTTCTGTAATGAAGCATTTCCCAAAGTATTTAGCCATGGAATACTAAGCAAGGAACACCTAATTAACATTTATTTGAACTAGTATTTTCTAAAACAGTTTGGGAATTCTGGCTTAGTCTGCATCAAAATTTTAAAAAAAAGATTATGTGATTAAAATAGATATAATATTTAATCGCATGCACAGTAATTACAAATCTAAAACATTGACAGGAAAACAGTACACTGAGTATGTTAACTGTAGTTGGATAGTAAGAGTCAAGACTTTTTTTTCTTTTTCCTACACTAAATTTAAAAAAATAAACATTTTTTATGATAAAAAGCTTTTGAAAAGTATTATCTAAATTATTCTGCCCTTTCACATTAATTCTGTTCTTCTCAACATAATCACCATATTTCATCAAACCTACAAAGCTACTGTAAGATGCCACTAATCATAAAATCAGGTGGTTTTAGCAAATACATGAATTTAGACTAGATCTGAATCATTAAAACACACACATAAAAGATTACTTCAGAGATTCCTATCATTTCTAAATGACTTCCCTTTACCTCAGCAATCTCTACAGTAGTCTTCCCCACTGATTTTGAAATTGCCAGTACTTTTTAAAAATTAACAAATCCCCTACCCTGGGCTCTCAATGTTAGGAACCAAACATAAACTATTGCTTTGAAATGGAAGTTTTAAGTGCAGACTTTCATTTTTACTTTATAGTACAGAGAACTCCACAAAAATTTGGAAGTGATTCTCTTTCTCAAAATATCTGATTTCACTGTTTCATAATTGCAATTCGGTAAAAATTTATATTCTCCTTAGACACTCTAAGTATTGTATTTCATCATATATAAGATACCATCAATTGTAAAATGACTCCAATCATAAGATGCTGCATTATTTTGGGTACCATTAAGGAAAAAAACCACAGCTGATTTAACTGACCTAATGTTCTCTTACACTTAGTCACATCCTGTATTATGTATTGAAATACCTGTTTTGAATTTATCCTTATTTTTATCTTATATCACTCTTGTGTTTCCATGAATTTCTTTTTTGAAAACTGAAGTATAGTTAATTTACAATGTTGTGTTAGTTTCAAGTATATAGCAAAGTGATTGTTTTATATATATATTTCCCTTTTCAGAGTTTTTACAGTACAGGTTATTACAAGACACTGAGTATATTTCCTTGTGCTATATAGTAGGTCCTTATTTACATATTTTATATATAGTAGTGTATATATGTTAATCCCAAACTCCTAATTTATTTCTTCCATGTATTTCTGCAAACACAGTAACTTTTTATTTAAGTGCTAAATGATCTTTTAAAGGATACTTAAGAGATTAAACTCAACAACTATGCACCAACAGTACACAACTCAACTGAACTAATGACAATATTATCAGTTATAACCAAGTTTGCGTAAGTTGGGCAGTGACAACGATGTCACAGCTGCTATTTAGTCTATAATGAGTTTAAAACTTTGAATACCCCACTATTTCAGAGCTATAAATATGAGAAAAATATGTCTCTCAGAACTAGTGAACTACAGTAATTTTAATCACTTTTTTCTCTCTTCTACCACCACCCCTATTCTTACCTTCCAAACTTCTTTCCTCCATTTGTTTTGTAATCTAATCACCAAGCTACCCCACTCTAAGAACATTTATTACAGTTCTACACAATGCAGCTCTAGGTTAAAACTCCTGCTAGGATTTAAAATGTGTCAAAAGTCAGAATTTTTAAACAGGTAAATTAAAAAATTAAACATTTTGAGAAATATTTGTCAAAACACAGAAAGATATAAAACTATGCTTTTTGTGAAAGTTCATTTTATTCTTTTTGTTTTTATTCTAAGCATGTGATCAGGGAATGAATTCAAATGCCAGCTATGCCACTTATTAGCTGTGTGACTTTCTTTTTTTTTTATTATTGAAGTATAGTTAATTTACAATGTTGTGTTAGTTTCAGGTGTGCAGCAAAGTAATTCATATATACATACTTTTCCAGATTCTTTTCCCATATAGGTTGTTACAAAATATTGAGTATAGTTCCCCATGCTATACAGTAGGTCCTTGTTATTTATCTGTTTTACATATAGTAGTGCGTATAAGTTACTCCCAAATTCCTAATTTACCCCCCCACCACATACTTTTCCCCTTTGGTAACCATAAGTTTGTTTTCTATGTCTGTGAGTCTGTTTCTGTTTTGTAAGTAAGTTCATTTTTAGATTCCACATATAAGTGATATCATATACTTGTCTTTCTCTGTCTGACTTCATTTCATATGATAATCTCTAGGTCCATCCATGTTACTACAAATGGCATTATTTCATTCTTTTTATGGCTGAGTAATATTCCATTGTGTGTGTGTGTGTATGTATATATATACACCACATTTTCTCTATCCATTCATCTCTTGATGGATATTTAAGTTGCTTCCATGTGTTGCCTACTGTAAATAATGCTTCAGTAAACACCGGGGTGCATGTATCTTTTTGAATTATAGTTTTCTCCACATATATTCCCAGAAGTAGGACTGCAGGATCATACTGTAGCTCTATTTTTAGTTTTTTAAGGAACCTCCATACTGTTCTCCATAGCAGCTGTACCAATTTACATTCCCACCAACAGTGCAAAAGGGTTCCCTTTCCTCCACACCCTCTCCAGCATTTATTATTTGTAGACTTTTTGATGATGGCCATTCGAACTAGTGTGAGGTGATACCTCACTGTAGTTTTTATTTGCATTTCTCTAATAATTAGCGACACTGAGCATCTTTTCATGTGTCTCTCAGCCATCTGCATGTCTTCTTTGGAGAAATGTCTATTTAGATCTTCTGCCCATTTTTTGATTGGGTTGCAAGATGAACACTACAATAGTCCAGTTAACATCCTTTACCATACATAGCTACAATTTTTTTCTTGTGATGAGAACCATCAAGATCCAGTCTCCTAGCTATTTTCTAATATGCAAAACAGTATTATTAACTATAGTCACCATGCTGTACATTACATCCCCATGGCTTATTCATTTTATAACTGGAAATTTGTATTTATGCTTGATTGTTTTTCTCTACTCACCAGAGAGCCTTCTTTCGTTTACTAATGAGGACACTGGGGATCCTGGAGGGCTTAAGGGATGGCTATGAGGGTATGGCTAAGAGAAGACAGTCCATGTGTTTCAGATACTACGGACATTAACACAGAAAACCTTTTTGTCCAGTGACATATGTATAAAATTTTAAAAGGGGTATGTCTAGGTCTCCCATGGCCCACTTACCAAACAAGGTCATGTTTTAGCGGGCTCAGATTTTCCCCAATAGGATTTAACCAAACCTTTCCACCCACAGATGTACTCACCACTATCTTTCTTCCATTTCTTAACCAAAAACACAGTTAATAACAGTAGCCACTACTTTAATGAGCCTGGCACATTACATACATTGTCATTTAATCTTTATAACCTTGTGAGACAATAAGGTTATAGATAAACTCAGAGAAATTATGTGACTTGTCTAAATCCATTCAAATATTAAATGGTAAAGCCATGATTTTAACTCGTGTTTGTTACTCCTAACCTCACAATACAAGTCATTTTAAAAGTGTTTCCAAAACCTAATTAAAGAAAATTAACTGGCCATCCATTAAAATTCTTGCATACCTAAATTAAGAGCACTAAGAATCTGACAGGTCATTTCTTACCACCCTTAGTCAAGCCACTATCATATCTCCTCTGGATTTATGTAAAAGCCTCCTAACTGGTGTTTCTTCCACCTCATTCCCTCCAGTCTATTCTTGAGAGCAACTAGAGAGATTCTTTTAAAAAGGAAGTAAGTACTCCACTGCTCAAAACCCTCCAATGGGTTAGACGCCCTCAAGATCCTTCATGACCTGTTCCGGATCTCTGATTCTTTCTCCAGCTTTAGTTGCTTCACTCAACTCTGACCTACAGGCTTCCTTGCTGTTCAGGAGAGTTCCTGACTGATGGCTTTTGCAATGTCTGGTCCGTCTGCCTGACTGCACCTCCCCAAAACAGCCTAACGATTAACTCTCTTGCTTCTGTCAGCTCTTGACTGAAGAGTGATCTTTTCAGTGAGACCTTCCTTGGCCATACTAAAATTTCAACCTATATCCTCCTTCCCGGCTTCACTATTTTTGTTTTCAGCAGTCATTACGACCTAAGATACGGCATGCTTTTCTTAACTTTGTTTAGTATGTATGTTCAATAAAATGTGAACTACAGGGAGACAGGAATTTTTGTCTGTTTTGTTCATTGCTTTTTACCGATGCCTAAAACAGTGTTTAGAACATGGTGTGCGCTGAATAACTACTTGCGGAATAAACGAATTCCTGTCACCGCCTCCCGGGTCTCTCACACATGCAAAAATAAACATGTTTGTGCATATATCTTTTCCAGTAACATCCTTCCCCTCGGCCCCGCATCCCATTTCTCAAACTTGGCTCCTTCAAAAGGTCCCAAGCTGTTCCCTACTTCCTCATGCCAAGATTGGCGCTGCTGTGGGCCGACTTCCCCGCAGGCCAGGTCCTATTATCCGAAGGCCACTAAGGGACAGGGGACTCTTATGTTCGCAATCCCCGTACCCCGGGACCCTCTGCGGACGACACTCACATGTATCGGTGAACAGGCGGAACCTCGGCCGTCTCGGCCCAGAGCCGGTAAGGACAGCCTCCCGCTCACGAAGGCAGCAAGAAAGGACCCAATGAGGTGTCCTCGCTAAACGCCTGAGCGGTCCACAGATTCTTCTTCAAATTCAGTGGCCCCCTTCCCGTGCGCTGCCACACCACACTCCCCGTCGTCCATTCCTTCAGCCAATAACGCCAACCATTCCACACCTCTTCCTCGGTCTCTGTATTTTGTCGCCAGGTTGGGCGAGAGGCAAGACGCCGGACGTCGGGGTCTTTCTTTAGAGTTCCGTCGCGGACGCTGTGAGGTCAGAGGAAAAGGCCGAGCTGAGGGTGGTCGAGGGGAGAGCTGGGAGCTGTCAGCGGAGAGCGCTGGGGTCGCTCTCCTGGCCGGAGGCGAGGCAGTCAACTCCGGCTGACTTAAGCTGGCGGGCAAAGGGCAATCTCTGAGCTCCCGGCGCTCCAGGAGCAGCCTCTTGTAGAAGCACCTGAAATGCAGGGTCTGGTGCACTAAGCAATAGCGGCAACACCAGCTCCAGCGACAGCTTTGGGGCCCTGTGTAGGAGCTCCATCCCCTTGTCTTTGTGTCCGCCTGCGTCCCCAGACCCAGAGGCAGGTATTTGGGTTTCCCAGTTTTCTGTGTCGTAGTGGTCGGGGCTGGTGGGAGGTAGAGGAAGGTCAGGTGCAGCGAGCGGCCTCGCATTTCCGCCGTGAGTGATAGAGACCACCGGTGCAGCTGCTGGCTGCTGAGTACCGTCTCCATCCCTACCTACAGCCCGCCTTCCCCCTACACACCTGAGTCCTTTGAGGACTGCAGGCGGCTCTTAGAAAGGATCTTCCACCTGACAGTTTCAGAGAATTTGGAATCGGCTCTCCCGTTGCTCAACATAGATTAAACTCTTGCTTTGGTTTGTTTCTTGTTTTCAAAGGCTTAGTCAGTTGTCGAGATGTGGCATTCACTTGTGCAGTGAAAGAATGTGAACGAGTGGAAGTTTCTTTAGAATTGTTAGTGGTTGCTTTTCAAGGCGTCTTGTCCCTGTTTTTATTTGGGACAGAAAAACAACTTTTTGCGGGAAAGTACATAAAATAAATGAAACCCATTGAAGAAATGTGTAAACTGTTTTATTCGTAACGAAATATGCATCTTTTGCCCTATTTTTTTACCTTTTTCCCTTTATGATGCATTTCCACTTAAAGTTCTTTGAGGGCGGATATTGTGTCCTGTTCACTGGTGGCCCCGAAGCTGGAAAAACACCTGACTTAAAATAGGAGCTTCAGGATATTTGTTGAATGAATGAATTTTCAAACCCAACTCCTTATGTTGTTTTTTTTTCCTCAACTAATCTCTCACCTCAGTTGTTTTTTCCACTGGCTTTCTTCCACTCACCAAGCGGAAAAAAATCTGTCTGTGTATTTGTTATGTGTAAACCTTTATGTGCACCCATCTAAGAGGTAGTTGAAGCAGAACACTGATGAAATGTTTAACGCCAACTACTGTTCTATCGTTTTGAATTATTTGCATTTTCTTTATTTGGTTATTTGATTTTTAGTTGTCTAAGTGACAGAAGTATCTAATGGAAGATCGAATAGCATAGTATAAAAGGACTGCCTAATAAAATGCAACAGCTCAGGCTCTTCCTTCCTACCCTCAGTTATGTTACTTCAGAGATAATAATTTTTAACCTTTTCTAATTTTAGGTCTGTATGTTGAACAAGTTAAACTGCTAATTCTTTTTATTTTAATTGACTTCTTAAGATAGGCCACAACATCCACAACCTCTCGACCGCAATTTTTTTTTTAATAATTTTTATTGAAATACAGTTGATTTACAATGTTGTGGGTTTTTTTTGTTTTGTTTTGTTTTTGGCTGCACTGGGTTTTCGTTGCTGTGCATGGGCTTCTCATTGCCGTGGCTTCTCTTGTTGGGGAGCACGGGCTCTAGGCGCGTGGGCTCAGTAGTTGTGGTACACGGGCTCTAGAACGCAGGCTCAGTAGTTGTGGCGCACAGGCTTAGTTGCTCCGCGGCATGTGGGCTCTTCCCGAACCAGCGCTCCAACCCGTGTCCCCTGCACTGGCAGGTGGATTCTTAACCACTGTGCCACCAGGGAAGCCCTCTTCTACAAATTTTTGAATCGTTATCACAATTTTTAGTTTTCATATTGGTTAATTTTAGAATTCTAAGTAATATATTTAAACTTAATTTTTTTCATATGAACTTTTGAAAATACTTATATTTGGCTCCTTATTTTGTAAAATGAGGGAAGTAGAGACTCTACCTTCCTTTACCGCCACAGAAACTGCATCCATTCCCACCTTCCCTTAGGTGGACCTTTACTTGTACGTTGTCAAGGTTATTAATAGTTACAGTATATTTCTTAACTGCAGTTGTTTTTTGCTTTATGTGTTTAAAAACTAGTAAAATGTTACAATATTATAGCTTTGTAAATAATCTTCAATGCTGAGCCAAGACATATGCTATTACACATTTCCTTCCCAATGTTTTAATTTCATGACCTTTGTACCACTCTAACAAGAAGATTTGTAATATTAACGTCCAACTGATTACTCTTTCTTCCTCTCCAATAACAAAAATTATGCCATAGTTAAATGTGCTTAATTTTTTGGATTATATACTTCTTATGTAGCTTTTGGCTCTCCTCACTTTCACAGAGTACTTTGCACTTTCTGTGAGGGAAAAGATGCATGTGCTTTATTCACCACATCCTCTCATTCTTTGGATGAGAACCTCCCTTACTCTGCTTGAAGATATTCCCTTCTGTTTAATTGGAACAGATTACTTTCTAGTCCTTTGGTGCAGCTTCTATACTGGATTATATTCATTGAATTCTTGAGTAAGATACATTGTTTCTTAACTCCATGTCTTTTATTATTTGGTTTTCTCCTCTGTTTTGTTAGAATACATCCTAAAGAAACTTATTCATGAAGGTATGTGGATGGTGATTTTAGTTTTTAATGTTTGCATAGTTGTAAATTATTATTTTGCTATTATGAATGATAGTTTGGCTAGATAAAGAAACAAAATTATGTTTCTTCCAACTTTTCAAGGCTTCACCATCTTCTAACTTCTGTTGTTGCTCATGAGAATGAGTGTCTGATCTTGATTTGTTGATGCCTGAACTATTTGTTTTCTCTCTGAAATGATTTAAATTTTTAGTTATGCTTGATGCTTTGAAAATTTGTCATGGCATGTCTTGGTCTGAGTTTATTCTCCTTGCAGTTAACTCATTTGATGGAGCTAGCATAAATGTCTCCATTTGGGTCTTCTTTCATTTATTCTCCTTGAAATTAGAAGCCTTTTTAATTTGAAGGTACATATTTCCCTTCAATTGTGGGGAATTTTCTCCCATCTTTTGTAATTTATTCTCTTTTATTTTTCCCTGTTCCCTTTTTTTGAAATGCCTGTAAGGTGGTTGTTGAATTCTTGGGTTGATTCACTATGTGTGTTAACTTTTCTGTTATGCTTTTTTTAATCTATTTGCCCATTTGCTTCATGTTCTGAGTAATTGTCTCAATTTTATTTTCTAACACTTCTATCTAGTTTGGTAATCATATGTTTAAGTACCAAGCACTAACTTTTAAAATTATTATTTTCTCATATTCTCTTAATTTTGTTTCATTTTCTTTTTTTAAATGAGATGAAATTTACATATATTAGAGTACACTGATTTTAAGTGATCCGTTTGAGGAGTTTTGATACATGTGAACAAAAGTGACAAACACCACCCTAATCAAGATGTGAAACATTTGGACTACTCCAGAAAGTTCCTATGTTTCCCTCTCCAATCCTGTCCCCGCCCCCCCCACACCCACCCAGCCAAGGCACTACAATTCTCTTTTTTATCACTATAGTTTAGAACTGTAGTTCTAGAACTACCTTTAAATGGAGCCATAGGATATACACTCTTATGTGTCTACTGCTTTCATCAACATAATATTTTTGAGATACATCCATATTTTGGCATGGTTGTTCCTTTTTTGTTGCTTTTGAATAGCATTTCATTGGATGAATATGCTACAACTTGTTTATCAGTTCACTTGTATGATGTTTACATTGCTTCCAGTTTGGGGCTGTTATGAGTAAAACTTCTGTGAACATTCTTGTACAAGTATTTTTATGGACAAATATTTTAAGTTTTCTCGGGTAAGTACCGAGTAGGAGTGGAATTTCTGAGTCATAAGGGGTATTTTTAACTTTAGGACAGTTTTCCAAACAGTTTTTCAAAGTTCTTGTGTCATTTTAACACTACCATCAGCAGCAGAGTATCAGCTCCAGTTCCACATTTTTCTCAACACTTGGTATTGCCAGTCATTCCAATTTTAGCCTTTCTGGTAGGTGTGAAATGGTATATTGTTATGCTTTTAATTTGCACTTCCCTGCTGATTAATTATATTGAGAACTTTTTCATGTGCTTATTGTCTATTTGTATTCCTTCTTTGTGAAAAATACATGTTTCAGACTTTTACCTATTTTTGTTTTTCTTTTTATTATTGAGTTGTAGGCATTCTTTATATATTCTAAGTCTATTATCATATATACAAACATACATATAATACATATACATCTATTTGATAAAAATGTTATATATAGATATAAATAATATTTTTCTTAACTTTGGCTTGGATTTTTATTTTCTCAAATGTGATTTTTGATGTGCAATGTTTTTAATTTTGATGAAGCCCACTTTATAAAGTTAATTTTTTATGGCTTTTTTTTATCCTGCTTCAGAAATCTTTGCCTATCCTAAGGTTGCAAAAATATTCTGTGTTTTTTTGGGGGTTTTTTTTTGTAGAAGACTTACAGTTTTAGCTTTTACATTTAGGTCTATAATCCATATCAGATTTTTGTGGATGTAGCAGTAGGAGTTGAGGTTAATTTTTTCCCATGTGGATGTATTGTTTTAGCACCATTCGTTAAAAAGACTATCCTTTTCCTATTGAATTCACTGGCCTTTGTTGAAAATCAATTCATTGTATTTAAAAATATTTTTCATTTTAAAATTTAAAATTTTTTTCAATTTTTATGAAATATACTGTATATAGCACATATATATAAATAGATAGAAATATAGAATATGGGAATTATGG